CACGATTTGGCACATTCACCAAGTATCGGGAAGGCATGGAGAAGCATTTAGGGCCTCGTCATGTTTCTTTAGTCCTTCGCACTGGGTAACCGTTCCAAACGGTTCCGCACAAGTGCTTCTGTTGTTGCGTAGTCCTCTTTTGGTAGTGTTCCATGTTGCTAATGTTAGGGCGAAGCCAGCTGGAAATGACGTTGGGGTCAGCTCCACTTAAGTGATAGAATTAAGTTAGAGATTTAAAGGATTTGTTAAGAAATTATAGGATTTCGTCAGGGTTGGTGGACCCCGGTGAAAGGGCCTAGCTCTGCCCCTGTAATGTAGTAAATTCACCCATCGGGCCTGGCTTCAATCAAATCGTGTGAAGCACTTTGGTGTCCATATGCCTTGGATGCTAGGGTCGTGTCAGGTTTGCCTTTTTATTCCTTGGATTTTAACTGAGACACAGGCTGTATGTGCTTAATGGGGGTCTTTAATCTTGCTGAAACTCTGGGCATCTCCTTTCTTAATATGTTGCCAGCATCTAGTCACTCATGGTCATATTGTGCTTAAGTTCGGTAGATCAATGTATTAATACAATGTGGTGTAGATATGTGTGTTTGTTCTCTGTGGGGCGATATACCTTTGTTATCTGTTGGTCGATATAATTTAGTTTGAATCGGATGCTGATGATGTTAAGGTAGTGACCTGTTCATCCTATAATATATTTATTTGCAATTTCTTCATTGTCCATTCGTAGCTCTGTTCTACAGTTCTCTTTTCTTTTTCCAATTTTGGTGTACAATTTAGTTTGCATTGGATGCTGATGATGTTAAGGTAGTGACCTGTTGCTTTTCTTTATGGTTTTTTTTCTGGAACATGCAAGAGAGCTATGTATCATTATATTAAGAAGGAATATTTATGTTTTCTGCTCATGTGATATTCAGCAGTATCATGAATATTGCTGCTGTTTAATCTCTTCATTGCCCATAGGCAGGCATCCTTTTCTGTTATTAGGTTAAAAATCGTTTATGGCGTTAATCATTCTGCTCAAGTTGTACTGTATGATTTATGGCTTCTTTGAGCATGTTCTTTAGCTTTGAATGGTTGCTCAGATACATTGGTTGATTCGGCTGTTTATTAGTGATAATCTTGGATTGCTGATGAGGCTAAGCAAATATTATGGATATATGTGCTTTAATAGGGATGAAAATTTTGCATACAGTGCCTTTGTTGAATGAGTTGTTTGGCTAATATCTGTGCTGTGAACAATGTTGTTTTGAATGCAAAAGCTTTAAGCTACGCTCAACTGTCTCTGTGTGACTGACCTTTAGTAATCTGCACTGCTGATGTATTATGTTGCTTGTTGATTTTCTGTGATTCCTTGCTGACTGAAAATCTGTTATTTTTATGTAGGATACAGCCATGGATATCACTCAGGTTCTGCTAGCTGCTCAGTCTCCAGATGCTAACCTTCGAACAGTAGCAGAAGGCAACCTCACGCAGTTCCAGGAGCAGAATCTTCCTAACTTCCTCCTCTCCTTATCAATAGAGCTCTCGAACGATGAAAAACCTCCGGAGTCTAGAAGGCTTGCTGGTATTATCCTTAAGAATTCTTTGGACGCAAAGGATTCTGCGAAAAAGGAGCTACTGACTCAGCAATGGGTAAGCGTGGATCCATCTATCAAATTGAAGATCAAGGAGTCGTTGCTGGTGACACTAGGATCTTCGGTGCATGATGCAAGACATACCTCTTCACAAGTCATTGCCAAGGTTGCATCAATTGAGATACCACGTCGAGAATGGCAAGACCTTGTTGCCAAATTACTGGGCAACATGACTTCTCCAGGTGCATCTGCTCCTTTGAAACAAGCAACACTAGAGGCATTGGGGTATGTGTGTGAGGAGATTTCTTCTCAGGACTTGGAGCAGGACCAAGTGAATGCTGTTCTCACTGCTGTTGTCCAGGGAATGAACCAGACAGAGCTCAGTCCTGAAGTTCGTCTTGCTGCAGTTAAGGCCCTATATAATGCTCTTGACTTTGCTGAGAGTAACTTTGCAAATGAAATGGAGAGGAATTATATAATGAAGGTGGTTTGTGAGACTGCTGTGTCTAAAGAAGTGGAGATCAGACAGGCTGCATTTGAATGCCTTGTTGCAATAGCATCCACATATTATTCACACTTAGATCCTTATATGCAAACCATATTCAACCTGACAGCAAATGCAGTGAAAGGTGATGAAGAACCGGTTGCACTTCAAGCTGTTGAGTTCTGGAGCGCTATTTGTGATGAAGAGATTGCGCTCCAAGATGAATACGAGGGATCTGAGGATGGCAACTCTACTGTACACTTTCGCTTTATTGGAAAGGCCCTCCCTTCACTTGTACCGATGCTGCTAGAAACTTTGTTGAAGCAAGAGGAAGATCAAGATCAAGATGATAATGTTTGGAACATTTCTATGAGTGGTGGGACGTGCCTCGGACTCATTTCTAGAACTGTTGGTGATGCAGTTGTCCCTCTTGTGATGCCATTTGTCGAGGCCAACATCACAAAGCCTGATTGGCATTGTCGCGAGGCAGCTACTTTTGCGTTTGGTTCTATCCTTGAAGGCCCCTCTGTTGAAAAGCTTTCTCCACTTGTCCAGGCTGGTCTTGATTTCTTGCTTAACACAATGAATGATGCAAATAGCCAGGTAAAAGATACTACTGCTTGGACTCTTGGGAGGGTATTTGAGCTCTTGCATTCTCCAGCTGGTACAAACCCAATCATAAATAATTCAAACCTTCCTCGTATCATTTCTGTGTTGCTTGAGAGTAGTAAAGATGCTCCAAATGTGGCTGAGAAAGTCTGTGGAGCTATTTATTTTCTCGCCCAAGGATATGAAGATGCAGAGTCGATATCTTCTGTGCTCACACCTTATCTGCCTAATATCATTGCTGCTCTTCTTTCTGCTGCGGACCGTGCTGATACCACCCATTTCAGGCTTCGTGCTTCTGCTTATGAAGCACTGAATGAGATTGTGAGAGTCAGCAACATACCTGAAACTTCAGGCATCATAGGCCAATTGTTGCAGGAGATCATGAGAAGATTAAACCTTACATTTGATCTCCATATACTTTCTTCTGGTGATAAGGAGAAGCAAAGCGATCTGCAGGCTTTGCTATGTGGTGTTCTGCAGGTCATCATCCAGAAACTGAGCAGCACAGATGCAAAGTCCATAATTTCTCAGACTGCTGATCAGCTGATGATGCTGTTTCTGCGTGTCTTTGCCTGCCACAATTCTACTGTTCATGAAGAAGCAATGCTTGCAATTGGTGCTCTTGCCTATGCTACTGGTCCAGATTTTGTTAAATACATGCCTAACTTCTTCACATACCTGGAGGCTGGCTTGCAGAATTATGAAGAGTACCAAGTGTGTTCCATCTCTGTTGGGGTGGTTGGTGATATTTGTCGTGCGTTGGAAGATAAAATTTTGCCCTTCTGTGATCGCATTATGACTGTTCTTCTAAAGGACCTATCAAGCTCTATGCTCAATCGGTCTGTGAAGCCTCCGATTTTCTCATGCTTTGGAGACATCGCTCTTGCTATTGGTGAGAATTTTGAGAAATACCTACCATATGCCATGCCAATGCTTCAAGGAGCTGCGGAACTCCTTGGTACTCTTGATCAGAGTGATGATGATATGGTTGATTATGGCAACCAGCTCAGACGCGGCATTTTTGAGGCATACTCTGGTATACTCCAGGGCATCAAGGGCCCAAAAGCTCAGCTGATGATCCCATATGCAACCCATCTACTACAGTTCACTGAAGCTGTCTTCAAAGATAGGAGCAGGTGCCTTTCATTTACATTGTAATTTCTGTTCAATTGTTTTCTGTTACCTGTTTCTCACAGTTATAGTATATCCCTGTTCTATTGTTGTTTGTGCCATCAGGGATGACAGTGTGACAAAGGCTGCAGTTGCTGTCCTTGGGGATCTCGCAGACACGCTTGGCCAGAGCTCGAAGGATCTGTTCAAGACCCACCTATTCCATGTTGAATTCTTGAGGGAGTGCCAAGCCCATGAGTTGGATGACGAAGTTCGGGAGACTGCACAATGGGCCCAGGGGATGATAAACCAGGCGGTGGTGGTCTCGTAATGTGGGATGACTTTGGTCTGTTGGGTATGGGAGGTTTTTTTTGTGGCTGTGCCAAATTCATTTGCCACAGATGAACGAAAGGATACCAATATATATGTAGCGTCAGTCTTAGGATCATGGTAGGCATTTGTGCGTTGTTGTTGGTCTGTCAAGCCGGTGTGCGTCATATTGGACTGGGTGGTTTCTGTCCGTGGATATCTTGAACAGCAAAACTTGGTTCATTTATCTTGGTATTTTTCAATGCTGGTGATGTGTTTGCTTCCTGTTTTTCATTTCTTGTCCAGCTGATCAAATTTATATAGGATGCACACGCAGGATGATACATTTAATATAAATTTGATCTGCTGGACATGTTTGGTTACTGGTTAAGTGGTTATTCCATTTCCGTGTCATTATAGCTTCGGTTATGCATTGTTGCTTGTGTAAGGATGGATGTGGGGCAGGTCAGTGGTAGTCGAGGTGTACAATCTGTTACCGGCAGGAATCGGCTCGGTAAACACAGATGGAGCAATGGAGAGAGCGAGGCTAAGTTATTGGATAGTAATAACTGGATCGGATTTGGATTGCCCACTATAAAGAGACAGCGAGGCAACAAATTTTGCAATTCTTTTCTGCAATTAATTATTAAAATAATGTTATTTCAAAAGAAAGAAAGAAACAGCTCTGGTGGCACACTTCCTTTTGTTCATATGTACAGATGGACACAGACTTCAACAGAAACCCAAAAAATAAAATTAGCAAAAAGAAGCATCCCGTATTATCTACTACCAAACAGCCTTTTCATGTGCATTTGAACTAAACATTGTTCTGGAAATTTCGTTCTTTTTTTTTAGGATTTGGATCGTCGATATCTTAATTTGTAAACATCGGTTCGTCCGTCTTGGGTTCAGTTGACCTCCGTGGAGATGATCTCCAGCTCCGCCCACCACAGCGGCGACACCTTGGGGGTGGCCGCGTCGGGTGGCATGGCGGTGATCTCCCTGAGGCGCTTGGCTACCTCCGGCATGGCCAGCCGCCGCCTGGGCTCCCGGTCGGTGCAGCCCCTGATGACGCCGTCCAGCCTGTCGACGGTGGCGGCGTGGAAGGACCTCCGCAGGGCGGGGTCCATCACGTCCCTGAGCTGCTGCTCCCCTCTGAGGTAGGCCGCGGCCCAGCTCTCGAGCAGGCCGCAGGCCGACGACGCCGTGAACCGGCCGGTCATGGTCTCCAGCAGCACCATCCCGTAGCTGTACACCACGCTCTCCCTGTCCGACAGCGCCGGCGGGGACAGCGACAGCGACAGGGACAGGCGGGGCTCGTCGCAGAAGAAGACGTCGGAGATTTTGGCCGCGAAGTCGTCGGTGAGGCAGATGGTGGACGTGTCCAGCGCCCGCAGGATCTCCGGCGGGCTCAGCTGGTGCATGTGCTCCAGGCAGTAGGCCACGCCGACCGCCACGCGCAGGCGAGTCGGCCAGTCCAGGCAACCGTCTTCTCTAACTGCAGCGCGTGCAGACACACCATCAGTGCCAGACACTGTTTAAAGAGCGTGGAGATGTTTATGACTTGTCCTAAAATGCAATGCAGCGAAGTGATTACCGTGTAGATGCTCAAAGAGCGTGCCGTTTGGCGCGTACTCGAACACCATCATCCTTGTGAAGGGCTGCTCTTCCTGGCAGTAGCCCAGCAGGTTCACGAAGTTCTTGTGGTTCACTCTGGACAGGCTCGTTATCTGACGCAAAAAACAGGTACCTTAGCTTAGTACTACTCTGCTGTTGATGTCAGTTTTATTTACGAGCATATTGGATGGACAGTTTCAGAGTGTCATTTATTTTTGTTCTACCTTCTTCCTGAACTGTGATTCGCAGTGCTTGGACCATTCTTTGGCAGAGTTCTTGGTGGTGGACACCACCGCGATCTCCACGCCGGTCGACAGCGTCCCCTTGTACACCATGTAATCCGACAATGAGCCAATGACGTTGCTGAAATCCTCGCAGGCGATCTCAAGCTCCGATCTCTTGAGCGACGGCACACCTGTGACGAACGCCTTCTGCAGCTGGCCGCTGAGTCCGGTCGCCCAGGGCCTGACGGTGACCACCTTGTTGGACCGGTAGAACAGGACGAAGAGGGCCACCGACACGGCCGCCACAAGGGACGCCCCGGCCGCCGCAATGACATAGACAGGCCTGCTAACACCAGAGTGCGGCCTCGCTCCGGCCGCCACGCCTGCAACCACCGGCCTACTGCCGACGTCGGCTGGTACCACCACCACTGGCGGCTGTGGGGGCAGCGCGATGCTGCTGTGCCAAGGATTTGAGACGACCACCGCCGGCGACGGCGAAGGTGCCGGGGCTCGCGTTGGTGGAAAACTCATCGTCGGCGGCGTAGCCGCCTTGGGTGCCCACGGCAGCCATGGCGGCCACTGGTCTGTCGTCGTCACATCTGGCAACGACGCCTTGTTGCCGAAATGCCCGGACCAGTACCTGTTCTGCTGCTGCTGCTGCTCTCGCAGGAATTTCCTGGTACGGTCACCGTGGATTATCTTTACCCTGCCAATAATTGATTCGAGGCAAAAGGGGTGTGTGAGCACAAGAGGCGCAGAACAATCTGACAAAGAGGCCATGTACCATCGTCTCATCTGGGGCTGCTTGGTGATGGTGGTTCAGCTGTCAATTCCTGACAGCCAATGGATGATTCCAAGCTTACCTTGTGCCTATCTACTATAGTTGGTACGTACGTACAGTTTGTGAAAAGTGATCCAGGAAGGTAGATATATAGGTGTGCCGAATATTTGTGGACAGACTTTATGCCTGTTCGCTGGTTCGATAAGCCGTTTGGGCTGGTTTGTATGGCTGATTTATTGTGAGAGAAAAACACTGTACCCAAGCTCTGGGTAAAACCAACAAGCGAACAAGCTGTTTAGTTGATCCGCTTTGGTTTTTTTTATTTGCTGTTTCCAGGTGAAAATTGAAATGGAGGCCTGGTGCTGAAAATGTGTCATCAGCTACATGGAAGAAGTCAAAGCTGATTCGGTACTGGCTTTTCAGGTAGTATTTGGCCCAACAAAAAAAAAACGACCAGGGCATATGAGAATCTGCCTAATGCCTCTAATGTTCGAGCCATGAACACTTCTTTTTAGGGGAACAGTCCAAAACTGGAAATTCATGATTAGTTGAGAGATCTCACCTAGCTTGGGAGGCAGAGCCGATACCTTCCTCTGGGTTCAGAGTTCCTCCTACAGGTATGTATCACCCAAACATGTATCAAATTCTCAAGGCGTGAACTGAGTGGAGTAACAAAACTTTTCTCTCATAAAAAAGGAGAACACTAGGATTAAGGTACCATGGATTGTTGCGCAATTGTCTTATATATATACTCACATTACACGACCATACACGAAGAGGGAAAACATAAACAGAGACACAGTGACATAACATACCTTGTTCGACACCGTTGCAGCTGCCGAGATCAGGGAGCGCGGAGAGCACCACCAGCAGCACAAGCAGCACACGGTGGCTTCGCGTCTTCTCCATGGACGCCGGCGAGATTCTACTACGGAGCAACATGGGGACGCCGAATCATGCACTGATCATGGAAGGCCACACGCCTCAGCATGAAAGCTTGTAGAGGCGAGGGAAGAGACGACTTGGATAGTGTGGCCGGAAGTCTTGGAGGTAGCAGTGTAGCACTGGCAGGAGGGAGAGAGACAGAGAGAGGGCAGAAGACGTGGTCGTGGAGAGTGGAGACCGGCCGGTCGGGGAAGAAGGCAAGAAGAGATATGACGAGCGAGGAGGAAGATGGCCAGGCGGAGGGTGGTGGTGGTGTTGGTGTGGCGATGATTTGTGGGTTAGCGAATTCGCAATAAATCCACTCTTGGCCCGATGCCGCGATGGCGATTTGTGTATGGCACGCCCAAAGCAACGGCTCCATCGAGAGAGGGCTGGGACGTCAAAGCAGATAAACTTAGGTGCAGAGTTAAATTTTAGCCCCTGGATCGGGCGGGGTCGGGTCATACTAGTCAGAGAGCCTGTGCGCTACTTGGCCAACTACTACATGGACTTCTCCTTCCCACGAGTTGGAGAGGACTTGCCCCATCGCAGCCCGGCCACACACACCTGACACCTCCACTCCACCCAAGGTCTCCGCCTAGACAGCGTGTTCGGCTGTCCACTTCTCCACTTGTTTCAAGCTTGTTTCAGCTTATTCTCTTTCACAGAATACTATTGAATCATCTAAAATAATCCAAAATCCACTGGTTTTTGCAGTTGACGAGCTTTGAATCCAGATTCCCAAAAAAGATGGCAGTCTAAACTCTAAACCAATCCTTCTCTCCCGTGTATTGCGAGTGTCGATTCCATACTTGAACATAACGGACAGCACACTGTTTTTCTTATATAAATTATTACATACGCAGACACTACACTCACCCTATTACGATGAGATAATATATATAAAATAAAACAAACTGTAATATCTAGTAGTGTGGTGATATGCATCTAGCTCTGACCAGGGTTTGGAATGTCAGTCAAAATTTTACGATTTTCGGTCATACCAGTGATCTCTGGTAAATATGTATGTACCAGTAAGTTTGTTTTCCATTCATATGAGATTGTTCAGATTTTCAAATTTTAGTTAAAATTTCTCAAATTTTGTGAAATTTTTGCGATTTCATTCCTAGCGGTCCCATCTGATATTGGTATCACTATCCATAGATTTAACCCTAGTTTTGACCCAACAAGGGTTAAAATCCTAGTCTCATATAAAATGAGCCTCGCGGATGTATGCTGCTTTCTTTTTTTAGGTTCATGTACCTTCGGTCTCTTTTTTTCAACCTTGTTTTGAGATTCTCCGGCCCGTTTGATCATTGGAATTGAATTTATTTTAATAATCATAATTTAGCCACATATTAATTAAGCTAATATAGTTGTATATGGATTATATTTGTATATTATTGTTTGTTATACGAGAGAGATGTGTTGCATTTCTACTAAGGGGAGTGAGTTTGTAGAGCGTGTTATAAGTTGTAAAGTAGAAACATAGAATGGTGATTATAGAATCAATTTCCATCTCCAACCCTATAAATTTGAGATAGGCTTATATGTGAACTTTGGAAAGTGGTGGAATATCAAATTCCAAGCCAAACAACCTAATTTATTAACTAGATTTCAATTCCTCCAAATGAAAGGATCCAAACGGCCCTCAGTGGAATGCCTCGATGGATTTATGTAAGGAACATTTTGCACAAATATACATATATTTTTGCTATTACGACAATTGAGTAATAATCTAAGGGCAACTATCGCTTCACTTTTTTTTGGCTCAGATATATAAATTAAAGGGTCTAGATCAAATCTCCTCTCTCTCTCCATCTTATCTTCTCTCTTCTTCCTCGACGCTCGCCCTCGCTGCCTCCTCCTCCTCGCCCAGCTCCGATGGCTCCTCCGCCACCCTGCCTAGCTCCGGCGGCTCCTACGCCACCAAATCCGCCTCTAACCACTATGGCCCAACCCTAAATCATCCATCGGATATGCCACCTCCTTGTCGCCGTCTTCATCTTCGCAGGACCCTACTGCCTCAACCGCCGCCACGCTAACCTGATGGATGTCGCCAGGCTATCGCTGTCGCGCTCCTACCCTTGCCCCACCCAAGCGCCTTCCCCCACTTCCCAGCCGGCGGCGTCACTGTGCCTTGCCCCAGCCGCCCCCGGGCTTGCCACCACCACTGGGCCGGCCTTCTCCCCCGACAACCCTTCTAATAAGCCCGCCGGATGTAGGTAAGCCTTTGAACCCCCAAACTCAAACCCTAACCTTGCTAGAGTTAGGGAAGAAAACTACATGACATTCTTAGATCGTGCGAAAATTCGAATGAGAGAAAATCTTGAATCACTCAAGTGAAGTTTATCTTTAGAAAAAAAAACAAAAGATGCAGTAGGATACTAGGATGTGTGCGGATTCCTCCTTGTCATAAAGGACTGGTGTTATTTTTCAAAAAAATAAAGGACTGGTGTTCATTCTCCTGCATTGCCGACAGTGCAGAGCTAAAAATATGGATTTGGATTCTCATTAGTGACTGACAATTCGGGGGAGGGGGGAGGGAGAGGGGGAGGGCGGGCACAGATTGATATGGATGGATGGATGGATGGATTGGTCGACGGGTGATTAGTCTCCTTCATTCGCTCGTGGCGGAGTCGATAGATGGATGGATGGAAGGGACTGCAGGGTAGGGTGGCGCTTTGTTAGCCGCCCCTTTCTGGTGAAGACGATTAGATGGCCATCGCTGGCCTACCCGTCCATCTGCCGTATGCTATTGCTAACGCTAGCTAATCCCATCGTCGTCGTCTTCCTGATGCGTAGTAGCCATGCCCCATGCATGCATGGATCAACGCAGAGCCGCAGCGCCGTAGCCGAGCTTAAGTGGATCGCAAGCAATTAAGCAACCAACGGGATCGGAGGTACCAAACCTAAGCACGCACTTGCCGGTACTAGCTAGCTCCTTAGTGCTTGCATTTTAGTTAGTTTGGAGTCTTCTTGACTCTGGAGACTACGAACGCACTGACATTACACTCGATACATAATTAAGTCCATTCAATTTTTCTCAACGGCTTAGAATTTCTTAGTTTCGTAATGGAGAGTCGCGGATCAGATCAAGAGATGATCGGCGTACGACGTTTTCAGTCATGTTTCTCTGCTTTAGTTCCGTACCAAAATAAAGAAGCTTTTATTTAGAGAAGAGAGATGATGAAAGAGGGTGCTTGCTTGTTGACGGCCATTTTTGTTGTTAACGCGCCTCCTGATTAGCACATACATAAGGATCGGCTTTTTTGCGGTCCATAATTCCATATGATTGACTTTGTGAAGTGTGTGTTGTTGCTCACCTAACGGAAAACTGAAGCGGAACCAACTGGATCGTGTCCTCTCATCTTTTTTGACTGACTGCATGCCATCTTATCAGAATGTTTTCTCTGACTCTGAGCAACTGACTAGACACCCTTCACAAGGAATTCTGAATCGTTGCTACTTAACCGCAATCTTAACGAGTGTTTATGAGGCAGAGGAGGACGGTACAGTCTCCTCTTGCACACTGAAAGTGACATTTATAGACGTTCATATATCTTCAGTGCACGGACACTACCATGCAAAAAGACTAAAAGTGGGCACGCTGGGCCTCCCCTACTACTACCAGTGAACTTCGAGAGGCACATTCATGGATGGACAAGACCACTATACCTAACAAATTGTTGTCTTTTACTCTCTCTCTCTCTCTCTCTCTCTCTCTTTGACAGGTTTGGATTGGATCCACACGTCATGCTGTATACACATGTTGTTTAAGGCTTTTGATCAACTCCTCTTAAGAAAAATATTGACACTCAATTCCCCCCATATCTGAGAGGGAGTACTCTCTCCATCTAAAATAAAATCAGGGAGTGATCGGCTGCCATTATAAGCCGGTTTATAAGCCAAGGTACAGTATTTTTCTCTCCAAACAAATCAGCCGTACAAATTAGCACAAATGGCTTTACGAGCAGCCGAACAGAGCCTCAACTTCTAAAGTTATTCTAAGTCAAACATTTTTAGGTTCGACTGAAATTATCAAAAAGAAGACCAATGAGCGCCAATGTTTATGACAATACATTGTTGTTATTAGATACACCATGAAATATATCTTCATAATATCTTGTTTGATGTCATAAATAATGTTAGTGTTCTTTCTATAAAGTCAGTCAAACTTAAAGTAGTCTGGCTCAGGACAACGTTGCTGATTTATTTTGGAATAGAGTGAGTAGTACATAACAACGAGTAGGCGTGTTCTACTATACATAGAAACATTTACATTGATAACTTGACCATGAGTTTCAGTTTTAGACATCTAAGTGCAAGTTATATCTATACAGAGACAAAGCTTCATTATCCCTTCTTTTCCATGGACCATGAAGGGTATCTAACTGTAGCAATAGTACAGTACAGATGTGTTATGCGTGAAGTTTTCCCATGGACCATGAGGAGTAAGGTGCAAGGTTACCACACGATCAGCAATCGACTTATGTCAATGAACCTTTATTAGTAGCCAGACCCATCACCCATATATGCATGTATGCATGCATATTGTTTGGTTGGCGGCCAATTCATAGTGTGTACTACATAGGACATGGATTGAAGGCAAAACAAGAGAATAATGCATCGGCAATGAACCTATTGCCTAGTAACCATTTTTGCAGCATGAGTCGGCCATTATTAATTCAATACTGAGGCCGGAAGAAAACTAATTTTGTTTCTAACTATATGTTTATATAATAAAATAACCAGGATCACGAATGAACTGAATTCTTTTTCTTGCGATGAACAAAAAACCATCGTTTTTCTATGATGACCGATAACCATCACTCACCGGGGCTTTTGTGCAAAATTTCCTGGAAATGTCTGCATCTAACTTGTACAAAAAAACACCATTTCATTTTCTTTGGTGATGAATAAAACTATTTTTTTCTCGTGATGAAATACACTATTTTTAACACATAGAAAAAATTTCCCTAGAT